GTGCTCCCAAGGTGGCTCACTCACGTGGCTATAGACAGTAGGAGTAGTTTCTTGTTACATAGGCTGTAGGCTGTTTGTCCCCTAGCATGATAGCTGACCTTCCCCAGAGTGTGTAATGAGACAAAGAGAGAGAATAAGAAAAAAGCTGCAGTACCTTTTGTGAACTAGTTTCCAAAGTTACACACCTTTACTCTTCTGCTTTATTTTATTTGTTAGAAGGGAGTCATTAAGTCCAGCAGTCTTGTGTCGGGTTTGAGTTAGCATAATTGTGTTAACTCTGACCAGGGTGCCTGGAGGTTTTATAATGATTCAGTGGCCAAGTAAATGCTTTTGAATTTGTGGTTTATTGTGAGGCTTTCGCACACCAACAATCATGTAAATATATTCAGCACTCAAAGATAGTAATAGAGAAGGGGAACGAGCCACTGAACCCCAGTGAGTAGCTCAAGAGACCAGTGCACTGACTGATGAACCCAGCGATTCTGGATTTCTCCTGAAATGCTGGCAAGGGTGGGTAGGGGAGGAGCCGTTGCCCTCTTCCCAGTAGAGCTTTCAGCAGTAGCTGCCTATGAAAAAGAGGCCTCAGAGTTCTTACTGGCAGAACTTTTGTAGGCATCATGGCCATGGTCAGGATTTTTTTAGTGATTTTTTTATGGCCATCCGTAGGAGTGTCTGTAAGCCATTATCTCAGCCACCTTTTGCTTTACTTTCTTGTCAGGTCTTCGGTGTGCCTGGCCACAGCAGGTGTTACCACCTCAGTCTACCATACATACGCTTATCACTTTTGAGGGGTCAGCAGTTTTACTGTCAGCTGAGTTACTTGTCATAAGTGACACTTACTTTGAGACATTCAGGATCACAAAACATTATTATATATCAAGCCCACACTCAGGAGGGGGGATTAGGCACCACCTCTTGAAGAAGGGGAGGATTTGTGGACTGGCAGGACTATTTCTAAACCACCATAGGTGGTTTAGCCCTAAGGGGCCTCCTCTCTGACCACTGCTGACAGGTGCTCTGAGAGCCTGGTTACCTTCCTTGCTGTGAGTCCACTGCCCTGTTCAGCAAGTGGCAGGAACAGGTATTCTAATTGAATAGCAACCATAAAAGATAGAAGTGACAAACTTTTCATTGATCCAAAGGCTAAAGTGATAGTTGTTATAATGACTCCCTATAGTGGTAGAGTGTTGTGGCTTGGATTCATTTTTTCTCTGCCTAGTATACTAGTAATGTTTCCATCATCTCAAGGATAAATAATCAGGGCATTATTGTTTGAGTATATTAGATAGAGGAGATGGTCGTAAGCTACATTCAGTCTTTGGTAAGATGAGAAGAAAGCAACAAGAGATCTAACCATTGGAAATTATTTCTTTTAGGACTATACTGTGTAAACATGGCCAAAAAAATGATTGGTGGTTAGCTAAGCTAATAAGTAACCTTTAAGGCCATGTTCTCATCGATAGTAGAAGCCTCCATGTAATACCACAATAGAGGAATAGAAAGGGGAAGCACCGGGCGTGGTGGCTCACGCCTGTAATCCTAGCACTTTGGGAGGCCGAGGCGGGCGGATTGCTCAAGGTCAGGAGTTCGAAACCAGCCTGAGCGAGACCCCGTCTTTACCAAAAATAGAAATAAATTAATTGACCAACTAAAAATATATATACAAAAAATTAGCCGGGCATGGTGGCGCATGCCTGTAGTCCCAGCTACTCGAGAGGCTGAGGCATGAGGATCGCTGAGCCCCAGAGATTGAGGTTGCTGTGAGCCAGGCTGACGCCACGGCACTCACTCTAGCCTGGGCAACAAAGTGAGACTCTGTCTAAAAAAAAAAAGAAAGAAAGAAAGGGGAAGTGTATTCTCCTCCTGCACACCAAGGCAAGAGTGAAGACCATCCCTACTCCTTTCCCAGGTCCTGATCTTTAAGTCTGGGTCCTTTCAGGATAGTGACTTTAGAGGTTATAGGGCTATATGTCAACTCAACTTTTAGCCTTTTTTTTTTGAGACAAAGTCTCACTGTTAGCCAGGCTAGAGTGCTGTGGCATCAGCCTAGCTCAACCTCAAACTCCTGGGCTCCAGTGATTCTCCTGCCTCAGCCTCCTGTGTAACTGGGACTACAGGTGTGTACCACCACACCTGGCTAATTTTTTCTATTTTTACTAGAGACAGGGTCTCACTCTCACTCAGGCTGGTCAACTCTTAGCCTTCTATGTGGTTCTAATGTATAATCTTGGGGATGTGTCCCCAAAGCAAAAGCTGATAGTACCAAATTCAGAGTGCTGTTGCAGTTAGTCAAATAAATGACCCAGAGTGGATGTTCTCTACGGGGCAAAGGAGAATGAGAATGCAAAAACGTACCACATATAAAACTTGCATGTTTTAACAGCTCCCTGTGGTTACTATGTGGACAACAATTACAGAGAGACAACAGTGTATGCAAGACCAATAAGGAGGCTATGGGAGTAATCCAGGCAACGGAGAGTGTGGTTTGGACTAATTTCTGAAGTTTCTATCTCCATCCTAGACCACTTCCCTGAGCTCCAGACTTGATAATTCAACTGCCTACTTGGCAACTTCACTTGGATATTAAATGATTGCCTTAAACTTAACATGTTCTAAACATTGAACTCCTGGTTTTTACAACCACTATTTCTCTATTCCCTAAAAAAAACCAAAACAAAACCAAACCAAAAAGCAAACAAAAAACCACCCTGATTCTTCTGCAGTCTTCCTCATCTTAGTAACTGGTAACTCATTCTTCCAGTTACTCAGACCAAAACCTTGGAGTTATCCTTTATTCCTTTTTCTGTCACAGTCCACATTCAATCCGTTAACAAATACATTAACTCAACCTACAGAATATATCCAGAATCTCACCATTTCTCCCCACTTCCACTGTACTGCCCTCTTCCAAACCACACTCTCCATTGCCTGGATTACTCCCATAGCCTCCTTATTGGTCTTGCATACACTGTTATCTCTCTGTAATTGTTGTCCACATAGTAACCACAGGGAGCTGTTAAAGCATGCAAGTCATTTGATACCTGCACTTAGTATTCCTCAGTGGCTTCCCAACAGATGCAGCAAAATGCCAGAGTTATCACAGTGGCCTACAAATTCCTCTTTGATCTGGGACCCCAGTCTCCCTGATTTCATCTGCTATCTTCTCCTCCTTACTGTGTTCCAGCCAAACTCCTCTTTGCTGTTCCTTGTACATAAGCACAATACTGCCTCAAGGCCTTTGTTTTTCCCTCTACCTGGAATGTTCTTCCCACAAATAATGTGTGACTAAAATTCACCTTGTCAGAAAAGTCTTGCCCAACCTCTCTGTGGCTTATTTGGCAAGTAGTGGGTGCTCAGCAGACGTTTGTCAGATGAATGAAACACAGCTGGAGGCAACATGTGGCAGCTCCTCTGCTTTTTGTGCCCTCTGCCTCTTGCATGAGGCTGTTGTGGTTGCTGCATGGCTGTGGAGCTCATTCCTTGAAGTGCTGGATATTTTCTGACTTCTGAAGAAGGCTCTGAGGAAGGGTGACGAGGCAGAACAGTAAGCCTGAGACATGACTAAGTGGGAACAGGATAGAGCCAGCCCGACCACTTCCTTCTGTAGTAAGGAATTTTCCCTTGAAAAACAAAAAGACATTCCTTTATAACATCCTATCTGGAAAGCACTTCACACTGAGTGGCACTGAGCTGGCCTTGGTTTGGCAGGAACTGGTTACAGAGACAACTTGGGACTTGCCCATTCCACTCTCTTGTCCAGGTGCCTGTGGAGAATGAATGTAAGACCAGTTTGTGAGTACTATAAGCCAAGAAAAGCCAAGCCAGTTAAAGGTGGCACATGGGGTTAGCCCATGATATAATACAATTTTACAGGTTTTTATAGTCTCAAAGTGAATGTTTTGACATCTTATTTATCCAAGAACACTGGGAGGTTAGCAGGGGCAAGAATTATTTCCATTTGATAATGGGTATAGCATGGAAGCACAAATAATTAAAGAACCAGCACACCTGACATTTAGACCAAGGTGTATCAGTTCACTTTCTCATCTTGTCAACAAAGTGACGTCTGGCCTGCTTTGAGTTTTATTGTTTTCTGATTACTGTAAATGGTGAAGCATTGGTGGAAAATATAGTTGAGATAATAGAAGGCTAAGTTCAGAGAGTTAGCCTCCATCTCAGGCTTCTTAGATCATTAACACTTAACTGATTTTTAGACTACAGGAGCTATTTAGTCCTTCCTAAGTTATCCCTAACAGCAGAGGAGACCAAAGGCCTCTAGGCCTAGAAATCCCCTAGAAATCCCCCTATGTTGGGTTCATTGAGGTTGTTGCAAATCAGGGATACAGGCAGATTCTGTAAACTGTGTATAAAAGCTCTTGGGACACAGGTTGAATTTCCTGTTCATTCCTTTCTTCCCCTTGGGAAGGCCAGTTTGCTGGATTCCCTCTTCCCTGGGAGAGGCTTATTCATTGTTGTTCGTCAAGTAGCTTCTCCAAGCATTTGTTGTTTTTGCTTACCTTGTAATAGGATTTGATTATAGTTGTTTGATTTTAGGATCTCTCATTTCCTTAAGGGAATGTGTGGCATTTGACACGATGCATAAGCATTGTTAGTTCAGGTGTTTTAGGAAAAACCTAAATTGATAGAGGGGATGATAATAGCCTATGTTTGCATTTTCTTTAAAGGAAAGCTTAATTTAGGGCAGTTGGGCCTGTGTTCTTTTCTAGTAGGTGGAGAACACCTACATTAGAAGCTCACATATTAGTAATCCTGATATCTACTTGGGCTGCTTTGGTGGGTGGGAATAGGGAATGGAGTTGGTCCCATTACCCTGTTCTGACCTGAAATACTCTTTCTCAAAGCTGAATATAAGGGCGGGCCATATTCTAATGTAGCCAAGACTGACTACATTAGAAGCAGGGCTCTGAGCCAGTGGGTGGGGCCTTAGTATCCTGTTAGAGTAGGCTTCCATAGTAACAGTGTCTAACACTTTTTCACAGCTGCTCCTGACATCACTGGCCATAAACGGAGTGAGAACAAGAATGAAGGGCAGGATGCCACGATGTACTGCAAGTCAGTTGGTTACCCTCACCCAGAGTGGATATGGCGCAAGAAGGAGAACGGTATGCCCATGGTGAGTAGGAGGCAGCCCTGGGTCTCAGGGGGTTGCTGGAGTTTCTCCTGGGCAGGCCCAGACATCTGGTCCAGTTGCTGTAACAGCTATATCCTCAGATGTGTGCATGGCTTGGATCACTGTTTCTAGAGTCATAAATGGTTTACACTGTGAATTTGGAGGTCATGGACAGTCTGTCCAGCATGAAATCCCTGTACATAATTTGTTAAAGCTATCTGTCTGGTAAGGGTTAGATTGCTTACCTTCAGGATAGGATGCTGAAAGAACTAAGCCACATCTTAAACTTTTGCTATTATTCTAGTTTATTTATCCTAAGGAAAATATTATTCTTGAAGTGGTCTTAGAGCACCTGTCTTGTTTTTCTGGGAAGACATGGTATTAAGGGCAATTGTAGTATATTTGTAGAACATGGAAAATACTGATGAGGAGTTGGGGCAATATGAGGAGGCCCAGGGACAGCCTTAGACATTGGGAATCTGACAGTATTTGCTCCAGAAACGTTCAAACAGAACATCTTTTCCGATCTCTGGGATGATTTCTGATGGTGTTTTAAAGAGTCAATGCCTTAGACTCTTTCTTACTTCCTCTCTAATTTAATGATTTTGACCAGTTACCTTTTCTGTGAGAAGAGGGTATTGTATATTCCTCGCATTACTTGCGTCCTCTTTGATTATCAGTCTTCAGAATCAGAAAGGGCCTTAATCCAGCTTCTTTGGAAAGGTTCCATAGTTACTAAAGTGACTTAATGGCAAAACAGGGTTGTATCTCATTTTTTTTATTTCAAGTCCATTCTTCCCACTTCATGACCTCTTGATAATACAGTGTCAAGTGGTGTTAATAACTCTGACATCAACAATGATGGCTAGATTTCAGAGACCCGTTAATAAGGGGAATCAGGATGAGGAGTAGAGAGGTGAAGATGCTGAGTTGAGTATTTTCAGGGTAGGCCCTTGAAAGTTCAACAAGACATTGAGTTTTCTAAGGCTGTGGTGAGGGAATGCCTATTTCTCTCTACTGGTCACTAGGGAGGAGGACAGTCCTTGAGCTTTAGCCAAAGTCGGTTGAAATTACTCAGTGGGTATTTTCATTTCTTGAAAGATGAAGCTTGAAGCATCACTGAATAGCTCTTTTGAAGGCTGTAAGTTTCCCATTTCAGACATACCCACACTCAAATGCAGACACAGTTGTATGCTATATCTCTGCAATCCTTAAGCTCTGGGCCACAGACTGGTCCTGGTCTGTGGCCTACTAGGAACCAGGCCTCACAGCAGGAGGTGAGTGAGTGAAGCTTCATCTGTATTTATAGCTGCTCCTCATCACTGGCATTACCGCCTGAGCTCTGCCTCCTGTCAGATCAGCAGCAGCATTAGATTCTCGTATTGCTAATCCTACTTATAAACTGCACATGTGAGGAATCTGGGTTATGCGCTCCTTATGAGAACCTAATGCCTGATAATCTGAGGTGGAGCTGAGGTGGTGATGCTAGTGCTGGGGAGCAGCTGCAAATACAGATCATCATTAGCTGAGAAGTCTGACTGCACAATAAATGTAATGTGCTTGAATCATCCCAAAACCCTCCCCGCCCCTGTCCCTGGAAAAATTGTCTTCCATGAAACTGGTCCCTGGTGCTAAAAAGGTTGGGGACTGCTGCTATACCTGGAATCATTTTGGGGATAATCTTTCCCATTTTTCTCTATTTTTGGTTATGTGTTAGTTGTTGCAGGGTGAAGACACACAAGTCCATTTTTTCCCTGCTGCAAGCCATCCTAGCTGCACTCAAACCCCAGCTTTTGCACTCTCACACCTCTGCCTTCGCAGACGTACAGATCTCTGACTGGAGTACTTCTCCCTGCTTTATCAACTCTCCTTCTCCGCCATCTAGTGCAAATGTTGGCTCTTCTGAGAATCTTTCTCTGACTCTTTCTGGCAGTGGCCACTCACTCAACCAGTGCCCCCAACACTGCATACAGACTCCTTTGGTGCTTCGTAACACATTCCTGTAACTAGTCATCCCTTTGGATGTCAGTTCCTGCTTGAGGCTAAGCTCCTTGTTCATTTTTATATCATACTTCTCCCTGTCTATATCACCTTCTCCTTAGTAGGATATGACACATGCAGTGTACATTAGTAAGTATTTGTTGATTGATTGAATAACCTTTCCTCTAAACCTGTAGTCCTGAAGGAAAGGGAAGTTATGAATTCCCCCCACTCTGACTAGGAGGGAGTTCTTAGCATTACTGTGGAGGAAATTTAAGGAAACTTTTTAGAACTTAACAAGCGCAAAATATATGTGCTGACTCTGAAGTCATCAGACAGGTCTGACAGTGGGGATCACAGCCCTACTCCCCTTATCCTCTTCCTGCTACTGTTTCTTGTCTGGTGTTGAAGCAGCATTTACTAGATTGTTGCTCTTTTTTGGATCTATAGGCAGTAGGGTCTCTACTCACTGCATGGAGGTTAGAGAAGTCCAGAGGACCAACAGCAGGGGAGACTTGTACCAGAAGTTTGTTGAGTTGTTGTTGTTGTTGATATTAAAGGGAAGTCATTAGTGAAGTGCTCAGAGTTTCTTAGACAAAGATGGTACCAGACACTGCTTCTTCATTCCAGCCAGTGCCCTGATAAGAATGGAGAGCAGCAGCACCCTCTCTTGGGCACTGGCCCATTTACTCTGACCTTTGTGTGCTCTCACTTTTTCTACAGGAGCTTGTCAATACTTCTGGCCGCTTCATCATCATCAATAAGGAAAATTACACCGAGTTGAGCATTATGAACCTTCAAATCACAGAAGACCCTGGCGAGTATGAATGTAATGCTACCAACTCTATTGGTTCTGCCTCCGTTGTCACCATCCTCAGGGTACGGAGCCACCTGGCCCCACTCTGGCCTTTCTTGGGAATTCTGGCTGAAATTATCATCCTTGTGGTGATCATTGTTGTGTATGAGAAGAGGAAGAGGCCAGATGAGGTTCCTGACGGTAAGAGCTTCCCTACAAAATAGTTGTAATGTTAGGATTGTTTCCCTGGGGTAGTATCCAAGTACCCAAAGAAGATTATAAAGATGTTGGGATTTAGTCCCAAAAGGAAAGAAGAAAAATTGTTATACCAGTTCTTAACACTCTACCCCTAAGATTTCTTGCATTAGCCACCTAGAGATATAACTCCTTCTCCTCTCTCTCTGGGTGTTCTCCAAACCCCAGTCCTGTCTGCCTTTCAGGCACCATGTAGTGAATGGGCAGCTGTCAGTCTCTTTGTTCAGTTTTGTCCTCCTTCAGTACAGATCATCAGGCAGACTGAGCTTGAGGAAAATCCAAGTCAAGCCTAGAACCAAGCCCAAGGTTTCAGATTCCTGGCCTTCAGTCAGATTTAAGGTATCTAATTGGTTGTCACATGGTTGCCTGATATAGCCCCCATAGGTAACTGCCTCGCCCAGTCATACTGTTCTCAGCAAAGCCATTGATTGGAACAAGCCAGCCTTTGGTTGGCCCTTTGATAGGTCTTCAAGGCTCTCTGCTGGTTGGCTTTTCTGCATTTCACAGATATCAATGGTGGAGTGTTTGTGATGTATCCACTGACTCAGGTTAAGACAGAGAAAGCTGGGTGGTAATACCTGGAGTTGATGCCCCAAGGCAGTGTGCTCAAGGTAGGGTCAGAGAAGGGAGTGGATAGTAGCAGCAGGACCACAGTGAATTGGTAAGCATTAGAAAGAAGTAGGAGCTGAAATCTTTAATTTCTGGATGTGGCTAGAGTCAGAAAGGTCCTGGGAAATTTTTGATCATGGATTTTCATTTCTAACCATGATTACAAGCAGGGAGAAGCTACTGATGGAGACTTGTATCAGTAGTACTTCAGATTCCTAATGAGCTCCCCATCCCCACAGTCCAGCCCTGTAACATGACCAGCAAAAGGAAATTAATTGACCAGCCAACCATTACTACCACTTGTCTGTCACTGGCTAGACTAGAATGGTGTGCCCCACACATGGTATGCCCCTAAACTTAGTGGAAGCCTACCTGGGTTGATGGTGGGGTTCTGAGCTGTAGATCTGGGTTGATGGTGGGGTTGCCGGCTGTAAACTTGGGGTGATGGTGGGGTTGCCAGCTATAGATCTGGGGTGATGGTGGGGTTGCTGGCTGTAGACCTGGGGTGATGGTGGGGTTGCCGCCTGTAGACCTGGGGGGGTGATGGTGGGGTTGCCGGCTGTAGACCTGGGGTGATGGAGGGGTGCCAGCTGTAGACCTAGGGTGATAGAGGAGTGCCGGCTGTAGACCTGGGGTGATGGAGGAGTGCCGGCTGTAGACCTAGGGTGATAGAGGAGTGCTGGCTGTAGACCTGGGGTGATGGTGGGGTTGCCGGTTATAGACCTGGGATGTGATGGAGGGGTGCCAGCTGTAGACCTGGGGTGATGGTGGGATTGCCGGCTGTAGACCTGGGGTGATGGAGGGGTTGCTGGCTGTACCCCTGGGGTGATGGAGGGGTTGCCGGCTATAGACCTGGAGTGATGGAGGGGTTGCTGGCTGTACCCCTGGGGTGATGGAGGGGTTGCCGGCTATAGACCTGGAGTGATGAAGGGGTTGCTGGCTGTAGACCTGGGGTGATGGAGGGGTTGCCGGCTGTAGACCTGGGGTGATGGAGGGGTTGCCGGCTATAGACCTGGGGTGATGGAGGGGTGCCGGCTGTAGACCTGGGGTGATGGAGGGGTTGCCGGCTGTAGACCTGGGGTGATGGAGGGGTTGCCAGCTGTAGACCTGGGGTGATGGAGGGGTTGCCAGCTGTAGACCTGGGGTGATGGTGGGATTGCCGGCTGTAGACCTGGGGTGATGGAGGGGTTGCCGGCTGTAGACCTGGGGTGATGGAGGGGTTGCCGGCTGTAGACCTGGGGTGATGGAGGGGTTGCTTGCTGTAGACCTAGGATGATGGTAGGGTTGCCGACTGTAGACCTGGAGTGATGGAGGGGTTGCCAGCTGTAGTTTGGCTGATCTGGGACCTGTGCTTGTGGACTGTGGTGCTGTATTCTGCCCCACAGAGTTGACTGTCCATATGGCCAAACAGTAGGACTGCGGCACCCCACCATGTCTGTCAGTGGAGGATACTGAGTGAGGTCTGGTGCTCCCCCAGAAAGAGTGTAGCCCCAAAGGCATGCCAGTGGCTTTAGATTCTCTGGAAGGACATGTTTGAGAGCAACAGCCCTGTCCTTTTTTTTTTCTTTCTTCTCAGCAGCTCCTAAATCTCTTTGGCTGCAATAAATAGAGTGAGTATTAGGGTGGGTGAGGTTGGTGAAGAGGTTTTTTGTTGATACTGTCGACACCTGCGGGAAGGCCTGGTGAGCTCCCCTCCAAATGTACACTGAGCAGTGAAGTGGATGGAGGAGCGTGATGGGCCTTTGTAAGAGTGGTCTTGTTCCCTGCAGCATGGAGTATCCCCAGGAGTTTTACTTTCCTACTCTGTGAAGTGAACTTGCTTTCCCGGGATTGTCATGTATCCCTAATGCTTTTTTTCTCCAGACTTTTCTTTCCTGCTACTTACTAGGACTCCCAAGGCAGAGTACACCTATATTAGACTTGGGAGTAAAGGGAGAGAGGTGCCTGCCTTTCGTGTGTTTTCAATTCTGGCTCTTTGGGAGCAGTAATGCCTCATTCCTGAAAGGGACCTTTCCATCCCCTCAGAATGCTTTGCCACATACCACCTTCCTCAGCCCATCCTTTGGAAAGGTTGAGAGGCAAAAAGTCAGGTAAGAGAAGGCTTCAGAGCCTGATACTTGAATTTTAAGACAGACTGGCTGCCGCTTTCATGACAGAGTGACACATTGGCCTAGTATGTCCCTGTCAGAGGTCCTTAGGTCTTTATCCTAAGAAGCCACTACATTTATGAAGTTGGAATTGCAGTGTATGTGGCAGGCCTTCCGCTTAGATTTGAGAAATGGTTAGTATTGTTCTGTCAGGAAAGTGCAGACACCCGCCTAGGGAAGCAGCTATCTTTTTAAAAGAGTCTCTTGCTTATTGAACTCAAATTGGGGACCAGTTTTTATAGGAGACATCTGTGGCCAGCAAGTCTTCTGAACAGCTTCCTGGAGGGAAAATACTTCTTTTAAGCTAAGTTATTATATAGACAGTGAACGAATCCCACATAAGAGATGACTGCAGGGTAAGTGCAAAGTAAAACCTCCTTGCTCTAGTCTCTTGGGAGAATACTGTAATGCAAGCAGCTTTTACTTCTTTGTTGCTGAATTGGGGTGAAAAGTGTGGGGTGCTGGAATGATTGCAATGTTTGCCTTCTCTCCTTCCCTTCGTGACAGCCAGTGTGGGCCAGGCTCCATTCTCCACCCCACCCCTGCCCTGCTCCAACATCCCCATTCCATGCTTGTTTCCTTTGTCTCTCCACCTTTCTCCCAGAGTCCTCCCTGCTCCCACCTCCTCCCCCGTTTACCCCACCTCTCCAGGAAGTAATTGTTAAACAACAACAACAAAAGATCAATTGTTCTTCTATGAGTTTTCTTTATTTTGTGGCTTTTTCTTTAGCCACTCTCTCCTCAACTCTTATGCAGTTCACAGCAAGGACAAACTCATCTATATGCTTCCTTCCCATTTGCTCCCCCCACATTTACTTACAGTTACATGCACACTGCTTTTTCAAATAAATGAATTATATTTGATACAAACTTTGGAGTTTTAGGGGTGATAAATTTTTACCTATCAGATAATTAATCATCTGTGGCTCTGTGTTGGCTTATTTATGCCATTATGAAAATGGGAACCTTTTTTATGGGCCTAACATGGTTTTTCTCTGCCAAATAGGTACTTTATTGTCAAGATATACCTACGGTTCATTTCAGACTCACTGAACTGTTTTTATACAAACTCATAGTATTCATATTTTGGGTATTTTTGGTAAGTCATGCCCTTATTAGAAAAGCACTAAGGCAAACAATACAAAAATATAAAAATACGCAAATTTGAATTTTTATAATGTTTTTAATTTGAGTGTGTTTCACTAGAAAAGCAAATACCACTTTAGAGTTCTCACTGAAAACACTTAGAGTTGAGGTTTAACTGCTTCCTTTTTTTAAAAAAAAAGCCCCATGTCTTTTTATCTACTAGAATATACTCAGGCCATTTTGTAAATGAAATCTCACACCTGTGTTTCTTTAATCCCCTGTTATGGTCTCTTTGAGGGTCAGTGCCCAGTAAGTTGTTGTATGGGCGAATTATCTACATATCACCTTTTACCTTCAGTGTTTTCAGGAACAAGTGAATCATGGAGCCAGATAAGAGCTTTGTTTTTCATTTTATTCACCACTTGACTGCATTCCCTGAAAATGTTAATAATTCTCTAAAAAGACTAGGTCAAGCTAGCATCCTCTAGTCTTCCATCCATGTTACAGTTGGCACCTGCTGGGATACACCTTCTGTGTTGGTTCGCTGCCCACTATCCTCTGAGAGCTGCAGGGAGATGGGATGTGAACCTGCTTACTTGCTGGGGCCTTCAGTTCTATGGGACATTTTATTGACCTCACAAACATCAAATTAAAACAGTAGCTGATTGAAAAAAGAAGTGCTAGCATCAAAAAGCACTTTCTATTTTCATATTGGGATAATTTTTATAAGCAAATCAAAGGCACTCTAAGTTACTGGTGGAGAAAATATTTGAGGGTTTTGGGAGCCATTTTTAGTGGCTCTGATATAGTTAGGCTCTTAGATACTTTAGAACTAAGAGCTATGCTAATGTTCCAAAGCCTATTAGTTTGTCAAAACATTTGGTAGTATATACCCCTTACAGCAGGCCCAAGATATGGAAAATGAAATGTGACTTTTAAAATTACATCAAAAACACACATTTAGTATCTGTTAACTAGAGATCATCTGAGTCAGTAACAAGTTACCTTAGGGAGAAAATGCAATAGGACCAAAAAAAGGGAGGAAATTGGAAGTAATCGCTAATCTCTCTTGGGTTTAATGCTAATCTGCAGAGATCAGGCAAAATTTAAGTGGATTTAGAAACCATAAAACCCCATCCTCAGTGGGATGAACACAGTGACAAAGGAGCTTTGACCAGAGAGTCAACTCTTTGTTATTTTGACTTTAAATCTATCTTTTTGGAGGTGATACCTGCATTAGGCAATCTGTTATTTACTAGACATCGCAGAGCACCCCTTCTAGATGATGAGGTGGATATAGACGGAGCGAGGGCTGTAGCGTATATGATTGGGAAGACTGAACATGCAGATAAATCTGTGTGTGCAATAGCTCCACCAGAAACTTCACTCTCATAAGGTGGATTCCAGAAGCATTTTGTTTCCATTCTCCCGCCCAGTCCTCCTCCTCTCATCTAGCCAGTGTCTATAATACCTAGGTGGAGAGAACAGTCATTGTTTAAGCCAGCTATCTTTTGGCTTGAGGGTTTGGGGGTATGTTAATATTTGTCGGTTACTATGACTTCTTTTTTTTCCCCCCTCAATTGCATCAAACCCTTAAAACATGGTGGTAAGTGAGCGATATGCATGCTTTTGGAGTTTGTTTAATCTCCGCTTCAGTCTATACGATGCACAGTTCATAATGTTAACACTTTTCTTCAAGTTTACTTCATTCACTTTCACAACTAATTTGGATTTCAGTTTGCTGTTTAATCCTCATTTACTTTGATTTTCGTACCTTTTTTCTGTAGTTCTGTTCTTTCCCCCTCTCCTGACTTCCCTGTTAGGGGTTAAGTTGTTTTTTGTCTGATCTGTAAAGGGAAAGTGGTGCCGTAGATAGTCCAGGAGAGTGGGGAGACTTGAGGCTCTTTCCTTTGTTCTTTGTCAGTGTGAAAGTGGATCTGGGGAGAGAGAGGAAGGGGGGGCTCCTAGGATTTGGCCCCCAGCGTGAGACTCCGCTGCTCCCACTCGCTGCTCCCACTCGCAGGCATGGCAGCTATGCCAGAGGCACTGTCGCTGAAGCATCTCCATGCAGCCCTTTGCATGTCACCAGCTTGTTGGGCTGGAAAGTGATGTTACTAATCAGACACCAGGGAATACCCCAACTCCAAAAGGAAAAAAGCCTGTGGTGCGAGGTGCTTGGGTTGGTGCCTACAGTGTCATGCTTTGAAAAGATTAGCCTGGCTATTGCAATTCTCCTTCCCCTGCTTTTTGTTTTAATGTTGAGAGTAGATTGGTGTTATTCTTGATTCAGCTCTCTTGCATTAGAATTTTATATTTTTGGGTGCACAGCCAGAGCACTAAATATATTCTAAGTTTGCTCCTGTGTCTTTTTATTTAAATCCCCAAGGTGCTTAGTTCCTAGCATGTAGCTGAGCTGGCTTGGCCGAGGCGCGGAGCATTAGGATGTTGTGAGGGGAGGATTTAGGCTAGGCTTGTGTGTCTTAGTACCTGGTATGTCTCTGTATCTCTCCACTGCATACACAACACACAGATGTCCTGGGTGTCCTTCAGTCTTAGTTTGTTCTCTGTACCTGTTTGATAGTGTACTGTTGTTAGTAGTGGACTCCTGTGGACACTGGTGTGTCGCTAGCCTATTGTTTTGGCTGATGAGTCATTGGTTTGTGGTTAGTTCTTTTATTTGAAATCCTTTTTTGCTCCAGTCACTGTGTGTGCTGGCGGTGGCTTTGCCTCTCCGTTGCCTCGAAGGAACAGGTGGAGCAATGTCTCCCTCTGACAGACATTACTCCCGACGTGTGCTCCTGCAGATGCCTACACTGAGACTGTAATCTCCATAACTGCTTCATGTGCACCAAGCCCCCTTGTGGAATCCTGCTGAGAGTTTTTCTAGAAGCCTTCAGTGAAATCAAACTGTCTGAATCATGTAGTCCACCTGACTTTTTTATAATAAAAACTAAGAGCACTTACTTGTTCCCTCCCCTTTGTGGGTCTTTAAAAAAAAATTCTATATATATGTATATATATCTGCTTAAAGGGGACCAAGTTGCCCTTAGTTGAAATAGGAAAGAAAAACTTACGAATCAGAATCATAAAGTATCAACTTAAGAAGGCTTCTAAACTCAGATAATACAAGCTTTTTGATTAAAAAAAAAAAGATATCTCATGGCTCACCTGGGTTTGGGTTCTGGTTTTGGCCATGGTGCAAGAGTGAGCCTGTCTTTGTATCTCAAGTCTTTTCTAGAGGGATGTCACCATTATTCAGCTTTCCTTGGTGTGTCACAGAACATCCTCTGGTACACAGATGCTTGTTGCTGGCATCGCCCAGCATGGCTGACCCGGTATCAGGTTGAACTATTGTGGCTGCCTCTTCCTCAGTCTTATTCTCCAGACTAAAGACTCTCCTAAAGATTAAAAAATAGCAAGGAAAACAGAGTGCCCTTTGGGGAAGTGAGGATGTGTAGCTAAATGTACAGAATGTACACATCCATTTACATTGAAGGGTTGAGCCAAAACTGCATGCATTCACCACAAGAAAACAAACAGCAGGATTTTACAACTGAAATGTTGGTTTGTCTTCTCATCTAAGAGTGAACCACTGGAACTTGGGGACAAGATGAGTATAATAATATTGCAGCCTATCTGTCCACTACAGTTGCAGTTTTTCATGACAAACATTAAAAGTGTTAACTAAAACCATTGAAACAACATACCTGCCATTAAAACTTGAATCTAGAAATAATAACTCCATGAGTGTTTTGCACCTCCAGATGGAATGGCCTTTAATAAATGCTATGAATAGCCATGTTTGCCACTTGCAGTTTGCTGTTCTATTAATCCTTATGCAGAGTCTAATAATTTTCTCCTTTCCTCTCTTATCTCTCATGGATTATTAAAAAACTGAACACTCATGTAGATGATGAACCAGCTGGGCCAATGTAAGTACTTTATTGGACATTAATTCAACGGTTTCTGACTAAATTATGTTGTATTTGCAGTTTAATCAAATGGAGTAGCTAAGATTATAGTTTCAGAAGACAATAGAAATGAAGGTTGAAGTGTAGACTTCTTAATCTGGCATGAATTTGACTAAAGACCATTTGATTCCCAGGACAGGCTGCTGCACAGTTTTGTTTTTAGTAGCCATACAAATTAGAATATCATGCAAAACAAATTTTTTTATTTTTGCACATTATATATGCTTAACCTTGATAATGCAAGGGAAATGACCAGTCTATCTGAGGCTTTAGGTTTTGTTCATTTCAAGCTGGACTATAGCATAGATACAGCATAGATAAATCTCTCTTGGATAAGCTGGTATCCAGGGGAGATGGAGCTCCAAGTATGGAATCAGTCCAAGATTGGCATAATCTCAGAGTTGGGGACTAAGGAGTAAGAGGCAAGTAAACAGTGCCCAAATTATTTTAAGTATCAGAGGGCGCAGCACTGCCAGCTTATGATTATCTTTTATCAGTTCAGAAGAGACAGTGGTGGTCAGCGGAGAAAAATTCACTCACTCTCACCTTTATAGTAATCGGATTACAGTGTAGAAATCAAAAGGAAAGTTAACATGTATGTTGTCTGCTTTGGGAGTCAAAAGGAGCATTAATTGAAGGTATATACAGGTTGAGTTATACTTAATATGAAAATCTATAATCCAAAAATGCTCCAAAATCCAAAATTTTTTAAAGTGCCAACATGATGCTCAAAGGAAATGCTCATTGAAGCATTTTGGATTTTGGATTTTTGGATTAGAAATGCTGAACTAGTAAGTATAATGCAAATATTCTAAAATCCAAAAATTACGTTTTTTGAAACAATTCTGGTCCCAAGCATCTTGGGTAAGGGATACTCAACCTGTGGGTACTTTACATAAGGAATGTGTTTATGCACTAATATTGTGCGGTAAGATTTCTTACTACACCAGGGATGGCAGTAAGTGAAAGAGTCCCTGTATTTCCATGTGTTATACTTTCAAAAATTGTTACTTAGCTTAACTCACGTAATGCCATTTTTCCTCCAAAGGAAAACCAACTCTACCAACAATCACAAAGATAAAAACTTGCGCCAGAGAAACACAAATTAAGTACTGCTTATAATGTAAGTATGGCCTTCTTTAGCAGTTTTAAAAATTATATTCAAATGAATGTGCCTCTGTTGACCTTGTTACAAATTCAGTAGTTGGTGTTATGTTGTAAGGTCTTTTAGTTCATTTCAGAGCAGCTGATACTGATGGAACAAGTTCCGCCCTTCCAGTTTAGTGACTGGAAGCATTTTTCAGCTGTGTTATTATTTCACATATTTATATAAATGCCATTTCAGAATATGCATGATGTTTTAAAATAAATAATTTGAGCTACTATTTACTTATATCTTTAAAAAGAGGTAGAAATTAAATTGTCACCTTCTTAGGTGAATTATTCCCAGAGGCCTGTTAGTCCTTGCTTCTGAGGACAAGACAAGAATGGTGGCCAGGCAGCAGCAGGCCAGAATGCCGTCCTGTTAGGCACATGGAGATCGGAATTTCACACCACATCCCTGAGCATGCGTTTGTTTGAACCAAAGCTTATTTTATGTGGCACTGTGGTAGAGTCCTGAGTGACAGTGCATATTCCCTTTTAATTTCCAAATACATCTTTCTTTACAGATCTTTAGGTTCCTGAAACTGGTGGCAACATGACCTGCTAAATTTTCTGCTTGGACCTCTTTGGTTCTCTCCCCTTTCAAGTGAGCAACACCACAATGACTGTCTAAAGCATGCCTTATTTTAGCCTCTCCTGTAAGGGTGACCTAGCCAGGTACATTTTAAACACTGCTTCAATGTAGAAGGTGTAAACTATTTTGGGCTTGATGTGCTGTGAATGTTGCTTTTTTTTCCTTTGTTAAAATATTTAAATAGAAGTGAAAAGGTCCTCTGAGGATCAGATCATGCATGCGCCATTTTTTACTTAATGCAGCTGTTAAATTGGCAAAGCTCTAAAATGCACTGCTGCCATCTAGTGATACATTTTTGTAAAGTACAGCAAAACCTACAGATATATACAGTATATAAATATATATATATATATATTTATATTTTTGGGGATGGGAGAAATCCAAAATAAAGTAAATGCTTGTTTCATTTTTAAGCTGCTGATATTCATTCCTTATTGTATGTTGTCAGATGAGGAAATGTGTAGTTCTGGTACATAAAGATGAGTAATATAAACTGAAATCTATAATTTTAAGGGCTTAACCTATGATTTTAATAAGAAGCTGGAACAGTCCACTGAATGAGTAAAATGAATTGCAGTATATACATGATTGCTTTTTAAGTGATTATTTTTCTTTTGTCAAATCGTGTAAATTCTTAAATCCTTTTGCACTGATGTGTTGAACCTTATTCTTGTATATTCAATCAAGGCAAACTTTTATAATTTTCCTTTTGTTTTCAATGACCTTGAAATGTTATAGCATGGTGATATTCTATGCAACTATAGTTATACTTTTTGGTTTGACACTGTATTTTTTCACCTTGATTTAATGGTTGATGGTAGATTTTATAACCTAATGGTTCTCATGCGGTGCATAACTGTAGATGCATGTACTTGTGTTTTGTGTAATTGTTGAAGTGCAATGATGTATAAAAAAAGTGGATTCACCTGTTTTTAAAAATAAAACATTGATAAAAGGTGTTTGGAATAATGCTGTTTATTCTAATATCTTTTTTTAGTTTTAGGAGGAAGAATTTTACAATAACTTTGAATATGTACAGAGAACATTAATTTCTCAACATTGTCAACTTTTTAAGTTCCTTTTCTACCTCTTCTACAAATGCTGGGAAATTCTGGTCCATGAGGCACAAGCGTAGAAAGGGGCCTAACTCTCCCGCACCCCATGCAGATTGCTCATAGACAAGGGGCAGCTCCTCCGATGCCAGGATAGACTGCAGGGATACCAGAAGAACAGTTTATTAGAGATTACAGGCGACAGCAATACACTGAGTAGAACACAGAAAAACAATGCTTTAAGGTAAGATTAGGGAAACACACACCAGAAAATTAGAGTGTTAATTAGCTTTATGGGCTTCCTTTACATAGTAAGTTTTATTGTTACATTTATAACTTTGTATATACATTTCCTGAATATGCATAGAAAGTGAGATAAACTTATATCCATAAGTATTTTTAAATGTATTGATGAAATGATCTGCAAAACTGAGATCCTCTTAGATGTAGATCCTCTTAGAAACTGTGCTGATAACATCTGTGGATTGACAGGAAACCTATTAACAGATGAACTCCACTAGTTTAGTTCATCTTCCCTACACCATAAGTTGTACAATGGCTGTGAACAGTGCACTGTGTTGAAGCAGGTTTCTGAATGTAAGAGAAGACACAAACTGACTGCCAAAGGGACAAAATTAGCTCACCAAGATGTCTTTTTTTGGCCATCTACGAGATTTGACAAATAGGCATGTAACTATTGCCGTAATCAAAATGCAGAGCCATTTTTATTACCTGTCAAAAAATTCTCCACCTATTGTTGTCAAACCCTTAACCCCTGGGAACCACTGATTTTTTAATTCCTTATAGTTTTGCCTTTTCCATTATGTCATATAAATGAAATCATAATATATAATACTCTGTTGAAATCTGACTTCTTTCACTTAGCATAATATATTTGAGATTAGTCCATGTCATTGAATATATCAGTAGTTCATTCCTTTTTATTCCTAAGTATTCCATTGTTTGGATGTGCACAGTTTGTTTATCCATTCTCAAGTTGAAGGACATTTGGGTGGTTTTGCTTCTTGCAATTATGAATAAAGTTGCTATAAATATAGGTTTTCATTTCACTTGGGTAAATACCTAGGAATGGGTCATATGGTAAGTGTATATATTTAACTTTGTAAGAACTGCCAAATGGTTATCCACAGTGGCTGTACCATTTTATATCCCACCAACAATGCATATGAGAGTTTTGTTCATCCATCTAGCACTTGGTATCATCAGTTTTTTTTTTCATTTTGGCCATTCTAATAAATGTACAGGGATATCTCACTATGGTTTTAATTTGCATTTCCCTAATGACTTATAATGTCGAGCATCTTTTCACATGCTTATTTGCCATCTGTATGTTTTCTTTGGTAACCTGCAGTGCTTTAAAACCAGTTGAATAAGTTGCCAACATTTAAATATTAGGAGATTTCAAATAAAAGTCTGACTGTGCTTGACAATTTGGAATATCTGGCAACACTGGATCCACTATCCCACATGATGACGACGGGCTGCAGCTCTGTGTGGTCTGCTTGCTTTGGTGCAGACATCTTATTGAATCTTCACATTAATTCTATGAGGTAGGTGGTGGTTTTATTCCCTTTCTATGGATAGCACAGTTGGGTGCATAAGTATACAATTGACATTTCTCATAGAAATTTACTTTTGTAAATTCCAATTGGCTCTTCATGCCAACATGGATTCCTGGAGAAAGAAAAAAAAAAATATTGGCTCTTCAGACTGCCTAAAGGTATAAAGAAAAAATGAAAATAATGTGGAGCTGTTTCCACTGGGAGCCATTATTAATGTTAGTGTATATCCTTCCAAACTTTGTGTTTATTACAAAAGTGGAATCAGACATGCTGTTTTGTAGCCTCCTTTTTGAAAAAACAATGTATTGTGAATATCTTTCCATGTCAACAGATAAGGATCTATATCACTTATTGATTGCATTTTTATCCCATTTATAGTTACACCACTTTAACCAATCAGTATCCTAATAAATGAACATTTATGTTTCTAATTTTTGTTATTATAAATTATGATGAACATGCTTAGGTGTATTTGTGTAGCTAAAATAGAATTATAAATAAAATGTTAAATTTGGCATATTGCTAAGATGCCTTCTGAAAAGTTTTACCAGCCAAAAGGTTAGAGGAAACAAATGACATATCTGAGCTCCCAGGCCTCATGCATTTTCTGATTTGTATATGGTTCTTCCATACAGTAAATAAACTTGGCAAAGGTACACTTTTTATAGCAATTCATATTCCCTAAATAGGGACATCAAACCCTGCCTTGGTGTGTGTGTGTGTGTGTGTGTTTTGGTAACTGTAGTGTCCTCAGCCTCTCAGATTCAGTTAACCCCTAAACTTAATACAAATATGGGCATTAATGAAGTCTGTCCTGCTGCTTGACAAATAGGCTTTTTAATTTTTTCTGTCATAGTTGCTGAATTATAAAAAACATGAATTCTTATTTATTCTTCTGACCTCTTGAATTCTTTATTCTATATTATTGTCCATTTATTTTAAGTTAGTGGTAAGGCAGATGGAGAAAACACCCATATTTTCTTTTGAGTACCACCGTTAGCACAGTTTTTGTTTTTGTTTTTTTTTTTTTTGAGACAGAGTCTCACTTTGTTGCCCAGGCTAGAGTGCCATGGTGTCAGCCTAGCTCACAGCAACCCCAAACTCCTGGGCTCAAGCAATCCTTTTGCCTCAGCCTCTGTAGTAGCTGGAACTATAGGCATGTGCCACTGTGCCCAGCTAATTATATTAAGTTATCCAGCTAATTTCTTTCTATTTTTTTAGTAGAGACAGCGTCTTGCTCTTGCTCAGGCTGGTCTTGAACTCCTGAATTCAAACGATCTGCCCGCCTTGGCCTCCCAGAGTGCTAGGATTACAGGTGTGAGGTACCACTCCCAGCCAGCACAGTTTTAATAGATGCATTAAAGAATATCCATTTTTGAATATTGATGAACTCCACGCAGAATTCTGTGGAAAGCATAAGCTAGCTATTGGTGTGAACACCTGCTGCCAAGTGTAGCCAGAAATGCAGTTGAGGGAGACAAAGTCCTCGCAGAGCTCTCAGCAGAGCAGATATCAAGCCACTGTGATTTTGAATGAGGTTTTGCAGCAAGAGGAAAGGGGCTGAAGCATGTCTGAGGTAACAAGAGTTGAATCCAGATCTTAGCACTGAAAATTTGCCACTATAGAAACCATCGTAGATCTGATTCCAGATTCATTTTTGATACTTGTCTTAAAATAGTTCCCAAATTTCATTTCCAAAATTAAGTTAAATTCGTCCGTTTATTCTTTTTTGGAAAATGGTGATT